CCCCCCCCCCCCCCACATTATACATAACGAATGTAACATGCAAATACTGTTCTCTTGAAAACAGCGATAATATTAACGAATGCATGACTTATGTTGAGACTTGCATTTTCTGAAACTTAATGATTAAGGCACTTCATGAAGGAACTTGTAACAAAATATACACAAGAGCGCAGTAAAAAAACACTTCACACAAGCTGTCACTTTTGGAGTTAACCTGAAATTTGCAGAAGTTGTTTTCAAAGTAGTCATTATCATTATTACGCTAGCTTAAATTCAATTCAACTTGAACAGTTTAGCACCAGTGAGCTTGTCACCTGAAAGTCACAAATAAGAATTGGAATATTATTTCTTTGTACAAAGACATTAATATTTGTACACGAGGCACGAGTACCCAGCCACCGGCTCATATGCTTCCCACTTCGGTGTCTCAGACAGAAAGCATGCCGTGGCTTCCGTCAATTCAAGTTCCTATCTTATTAAATTCATTCACTGCTTCCATGGATTGAATGGAGTGTATACAGTCATTCAGCTCTCTCTCTTCGGTGGTGCAGCTTCTCTTGAACGCCCACTTCATTCCATTCACACACTTGAATACTCTACAGATACACAGATTCCTTCATCTCAAACATAAAACAGAATCATCACCACCTTTCTTAGCATCTCTTGGTTCACATCAAGCACATCGTTACACTTGCACGGTCTTTCTGTCCATAACTGTAACTACTTTCAAATGTCAATGCTTTTGCCCACAAGCCAAAGATGTTCTTCGTGATAACAGTTTTAAAATTAAAGTCTGACAATCAACTTTCGAGAAGACAAAGGTGGGCCGTCGCATTCCTTCCTGCGGGAATGGCATTCAGAAAAACTTGTCCTGATCTAAATCTGCACGAATATGTCCATTTACTAAATTATGACTATTCCTTTTGATTGTAGCAGTTTCATATTCTAGAAGAGGTTTAGCAAATAATTTGGGTGTCCCTATAGAGATACCTGTGCCTCCGTTTGAAGACTTATGGGTTCCCGGCGCCGTCCCATTACTACTACTGGTAGAAGACGAGAAAGACGGAGCACGTTTGGTGTGGTGGCTTCCAACATCCTTCAGTGGGACAGTAACATACGGGTTCTGCTTGGATGAAATATAGTGCGGACTGCCCGGTATTCTTGGGCGCTGGCGGCGAAAGTACAGGTAACACGCAGTGCCCATCAGAGCCAAACCAAAAAGAAATGATGCCGCACTCCATCCCAGCACAGGTCCAATGGATCCGTCTGGATCTGGTCTACTACGAACCCCAAGTTGGTTGAGATCTGGGAAAGAATGATTAAACAAATTTCTGCTACGATAAGCTTATCTAATTGACGAAGTACTGCAGAAGCAGCAAAACAAGGTTAAAACGTATGAAGTGAGCAGATCTACTCAATGCTGCTCAGTACACGTAGACGGTCGGCTATAACGGAAACTGACAATGGAAATATACATATTCCATCGCATGTGACAGGATGGGTTATAAATCAGTTAAACAGAATAATGCATCACACACATATTTTAACCAAAAGCAATAAGAATGGTTTGATAATTATGAAAAGACAAGACAAATAAGCTGATGGTTATCTCCATCTATTCAGTGCTTCACTGCTTCATATTCTCTCGTGTATCATCCAGCTGCACAATCGGCTTGTTGTTGCCAGTTTCACAGAGACATGGGTCTGCCTCCACCACAACAATAATAATATCATGATAAATATAAAATTATTTGTTTTACGTCTTTCCTATGTTCTAAATTTTATGTAATCTCATATTAGACAAACAGAGTGTGCTGAAAGGCATAATAAATGCTTTCAGAGAAACTTTTAAAATCCTACACAAATATGAAACTTTGGAATTCTGCAATGCCTATGTTTTACCAACTTTGTTTCTGTACTAACCATTTGCGTCTGGAAATACACACATTCTGGTCTCTTGGTCATGACTTTGACAAAAGTGGGGCCCTGGATTTGTTGTCAGACACTTCCTGCGTCGGTGTTGTTCCGCATTGTCGTCACACAGTGACCACACCGACCACGGTTCCCAACCAAGCAATGCTGAAACAAATGTTTTCTCCAATCAAACTGGAAAGGTTGTCTGCGCACCACAAAGAATTTACTTCATGTTTCGTAGTGTGAAAAAACAGATGGCACAACCGAAGTGGAGAAGGCTTCGGAAGAACAAAGAATATAATTCTCAGTACAAAACCTAAGAATTCCAGGGTTTTCAGAAGGAGTGACGGTTCTCACATAAAACTTAAACTTCAAGAAAAGTTCTTTTCAGACACAGAAAAACAGTATTTCTTTTATGTTACAGAAATTAAGAGGGTAGTACATCCTATCTTGTAATTAGAACTGATACTCAAAATCCTTTATGAAATCTCAAAAGCCTCAATAAAATATGCTCTTCTTGGTACAAAGGGGGCAGCCATGCGATATTGCATTTCAACTACATACATTCACAGCTGACGGCTTCACAGGGCTCTTCTCCTGTAGCTGGCCCTTCACACCCTGAGCCAGCGACTCCACGGTTACCGACACCGAGGCACTGACGAGTGCGCCGCCTTACCCCCTGACCACATGTCACAGAGCAGCCAGACCACTCAGTCCAACAGCTCCATTCTCCTGCAAACCATACAAAAAGAACGAAGGTCATGACACAGAAATGCACCGTCCCGTCTTCCATCGTACACCTTAATCGCTGGACCAACACAACTACGCACAGCTGGAACACATGACTAGTTAGCAGCACTCTTTACAGAAAGTCGGCGCACATTACTGCACAGTGAGCACGCTACATCCATTAGACTGCATGTGAGAGAGATGTACATGATCAGAGTTCTTTCAAATCTGAAATATTTTCAGCATGAAGAATACTTAAAGAAATGCAAGTATTGCCAAAATAACAGAACCAAATTTTACATTTATTTTTATTTCCACTGTTGAATGAAAAAAAATTGTCATAGTTACTTTTTTAATAATTCATTAATAATGCAAGTTGTGAAAATATAATGGACAATAAAAAATTAACACTTGAGTCAATAAGCCAAGTTAAATTATAATATGAAGAACACATTTTGTAAGTAAGGCATCAAAAAGAGCAAATGTAAAACAATACAAACCTTTGCATTTCTCAGAGTTGCAATTACTAGACATATGTGAAGGCCCTTCGCACTCGTCGGCCCTACCCTCACAAGTCCGAGTCCGATGCCTGTGTCCACCACCACATTCTACAGAACAATCGGACCAGTTGGACCACTCAGACCAGATATCGTCTGCGTCTCCTCGTCCTATGCAAACAGACGGGCACATTTCTGTACTAATCGCTGGAATATGAATGCCACTAATAATGTACATAAAAGAAAATATTTATTTTGCCATTTTCCATTGGCCTTCGCATAGAAACTCCTGCTTATTTCAGCTGCTGGCAGTGAATGGATCTTGTAATGCCAGAAGCACAGATCAGAAGGAAAGTATTAATTTAGGCTGAAACATACATTACAGTTTTTATTGGGACTGTTGATTGGACAGTTTTCACCGTAAAGTTCAATCAGAATCTATTCACAGAAAGAACCAGTGCTGATAGACATGCACTCCCAACAACGTGCTTTATTTTTTCACAGATCAAGAACTACTACAAACACAAAAAAATATGGAAACAAAATGGATGGGTCACCTGTGCGAAGACAGTTCCCATCAGCTTGACAGAATCTCTCCTCCTCCTTTGCTTGGGCCAGTTTAATGAATGCAGGATCAGCAACAGGGGCCCGACAAGAAAATCGGAACCGCCTCTCCGTGTACCCGGCAGCGGTAGCTGTGGCATTCGTTGCCAGCCACGGTGTCCACGAAGAGAGCCGCTTAGCATCAGAACACGCGTGTGCGTTGCACTGTTCATAGTCCAAGTGGCAACCCTGGCAGTCTTGGCCTCCATCCTGTGGGGCAGGGTTGTCGCACCTTCGTCTGCGTATTCTGTATCCACCCCCACACTGAGATGAACACTCATCCCATGGGCCCCATGAACCCCACTGACCATCACGTGGTTGTGGAGTCATTGCTGAAATAACAACAGAATTTTTGAGAATACCACCAAGAGAAATTATACCTACATACTGATTTCCAAACACAAAGCATCTTTCAAAAGTGAGTGACTTATTGAAGTGACAATTTGGTGGATCAAAGCATCTACGAAAGATTCGTTTATATTTCTGGATGAACATCAGCAACAGGTATCTACACTGAAAGCAAAGCAAAGCCAGAAATAATTCCGTATGTAAACCATACAGCGCTTTTGCCGTTTCATCTATTGTCTAATGTGAGGGAGCGGCAGGAGACGCGATTCAAACCAAGTATAAAGCATACCCGGGCATGGCGGATTGGAAGTACAGTAGATTTCATTGCGGTCCTGTCCGACACACACTCTCCCGCCATGTGCTGGCGCAGGATTGCCACAAGTCCGTCGCTGCGTCTTCACGGCTAAGCCACAACTCTGGGAACAGGCAGACCAACTGGACCACGCAGTCCAGCCACCATGCACTGTACAGTTCGTAACAGCTATTGCAATTCCTGCGCAAGGCGCGCCACCATTTTGAGGCGGCGGGTTATTACACTGCCTGGTTCGGCAACGACACTGATCCACTCCAGAGACTGAACCTGAGTCCGACTGGTAAGAGCAGGGGAACCAACTTGACCAGCTGCTCCAGCCACCATCCACTGCAACACACAAATCCGTCTTTGGTCTGGCCAGTGTCAAGGAAGTTCACAGCCAAGATTTGCGTAACATCACACAGCGTGTCAAAGTTCGACACAATCCCACCTTCACATCCCCATCTATTCAAATAATCACCCGATTCTTGTAGAACCTTGGCGAAAACATTGATCCCATTTCTTGTTATTAATTCTTATTTCTGTAGATTTATTTATGAATTGTTTTGTTGTGCTCCATAATTTGTTGCATGCTTTGGAGAGATTAAAAGTGCATACAAAATTTTTGTCAGATAATTCAGTGAGAAGAGACCACTAAGGAAAGCCATGTGTGGATGGGTGGAAAATACCAAAATGTATCTGGAACAATGAGGATGCCACAAAAACATATGACGAGAAGAGAGAAGAACAGTTTTAATTCTTGTAATTGGAACAAGCCATGACGATAAATATTTAAAATGTACGAAACAGCGCGTCATGTGTATGGACAATTCACGTTTAACGCGCGGCACTCACCGGGGTCTATCAGTACAGGACACTGTGTGACACTCTGCTTCCAGTAGCCTGACAGCGCGTCATGGTTGGGTGCGGTCGTGCACTGTTCTTTCAGTTCATTCCATCCGCAGTAAGGGTCCATGGAGTTCTGACAAGCCACTCGGCTGTGCAACCTGCCACAATGCTGTGCCGGTACGCGCATCACACTGTCCTCCGTGCCAACGTAAACGGACTCCTGAAAAATTATTACGTTACCTCCTCACGTTACATCCATAACTCATCATTATCTGACATAAGATGCTTCGTTTTCACTCACTGTCTCTTTGAGGTAGTGAAGTGCTTTGATAGGAACGGGGATGTCTCCTGGAAATGGCTTCCATATCTCCACGACACACGTCTCCTGCGTTCGTGGCAAAACTGATATTTTCTTTACTAGGCCATCGGCTGTAGCCACGTACAACACGTGGACAGCCCGGTGCAGTTTTGTGGGTAACACGTCAACAGAAATGTGCGTCAGAGTCTCCAGACGTCCAACGTACAGAGGGCTAAGTGTAGCCGGTTGGACCGCACTGTCCATCAACTGGTACCGGTTGGAGTCCAGTAACTGATGGGCGTGGCTCTGGGATGAATCTGACTGGCACTCAAAGTGGCGCTTGTGTGGTGAAACATGGCGTTCCCATGCTGAACCAGGGTGCTCCTGATGTTTGAATGGGCCCGAGAAGGCAGCAGCTATTGAAGACATGTTGAAGGCACAGATTGCTGATCCCGGGATGCTGTTGCTATAGAAACAAAAATTTTAATTTACAACCAATGCAAATAAAAGCCTCCTGAAACCCAGATGAGAAGAAAATACTCATTTCAGAAATGCAAATTAAAGTTAAATATGATACAACGAACAATAAATGTCAGTAGCACGTAAAATTTTAGTGAAACATTTCCATGCCAATAACAGAAACAGTGAACTGTGGAGGATCCACGATACAATCTGGTAGATATTGACTGATGTTTCAAGAGCTTACTGGCAATATCATCAGGGTAGCGAGCCACCCTGACAATGAAGGTAGGATGCCCCAGAAGGCAGTTATGCTCATTACCATGACAACCTGAAAACTCCCCGAACAAGAACGTAGTCAACAGTATCACAGCCTCAACGTCTTCCTGCTGCAAGACGTGACTTTGCCTTCTGCTGAGTTAGTTTCCACGCAACACCCCTGCTGATATCAGACAAGACCACTTCTTCAGCAATACTTGCGGTCGGCTTCACTTACGTGGGGGTGGTGAAAGTGGCGTACACCATCTCCTCGGACTCCACGTACGCCATTCCCTGAATCTCGTCGAAATAGAAAGGGTACTCTCCAGGAATTGAACAATTCAGGCGAGCCTTCACAAAAGTGGTCCAGCTATCCTTCAGCATCAGCTGTCCTCCGCTGTCATTCTTGCAAATGCGGGCAATGCGCGAGTAGACGATCTGCAACAACGCACTCCTAAATAAAAATACCTTTTAAGCGTGCAACATTCAACGCTTGCAGAACAGGAACACGTGATTCACACACACATGATCTTCCTGTGGAAAGAAAGGGGCGCTTGAGGGACATTACTAAAAACCTGAGAGGACAGTCGGTCTCCGGGCCGCGATTTGAACCAGGGGCCTCCTGAATACGAAGCGAGAGTCCCCGATCGGTAGGTCCTGTGCTTCCGACGGAGATGTCCAAGCGAGGAATCTACCCGTTGAACCTACGTACAAGCGGGTCGCAATTATAATTTCTGTCAGTATCTGCGTGTGTATGGATGATGCGAACACCAAAGTCTTTCTCAACCATGACGAGGTTGATTCTGCATCTTGAAATCATTCCGAGGTACCAGACCTCAACACCTGATATGGAATTCCTAATTCGTTAGTGCAACGCGTGGGACCAAGAAATACCAGAATGTATAAAGCAGACTCGCCTTGCTGATGCGGCAACTTCTCCGCCAGCTATGCATGCCATGTAGCATAATCACGTAGGCGTATGCCTTGTGTTTTAGTTTTCAATTTGCATACCCGACGAACAAGTGTGTCTAATAAAACGGTTTTCAGTATGGCGCGCGCCCTTTGCTAGTAACGATCTGCTTTCTGTTCACTGCCCCTTAAGCTGTGTACTTAGTGCCATTGAGGCCATGGTGTCAGGAAGGAGCCATACCTTTCCACAGTTGATGTACTCCACGGCACTCTCCCGGAACAAGAAGTAGACGTAGCTCGACGTCTCGAACGAGCCGACGAACTGCGGATCATTAAGCCACTTGCTGTCGAACTGCTTCGTCCGGGTCGTGGAGCCGCCGACTCCAGCCACGCTCCGGGATATCGCCGGATCGGCTCCGGAGAAGTCCATGGGACTCCCGATGAAGTAGTGCCCCGAGGCAGTCAACAGCGCGGTGACGTTGGCTTCGGGGCTGTAGGGGCAGCGCGCCACCCCTCGGACCCACTGAAGGACACTGTCCACGTTCTCTATCTGTGCTTGGGCAGAAACGACGCTTTAGAACTCAGTTCCGAGGGATTACCGGCCCCAACATCGCCAGCCAATGATTCAGTCAGTTAGCGGGAGAGGCACTCACCGCCCTCCAGGAACACTGGGGCGAGAAGGCGTTGGTGCCACACGAGAAGATCCTCTTGCCGCTCGCCAGAAGCACCTTCACGAAGTTGTGACAACTCGCCTCGGCCTGGCCCTTGTTCTGACACAGCTCCACCTTGTCGGGTGGCGCCAGCCATGTTGCCTTCTCCAGCTGCGTTAGGCCGCTGAGCGACAATCGGTACAGCGTGTCCCTGCGGGGAGACAGCAGATGTCGTCTCGGAAGGAGCAGTCACTCTTTACCCCCAAAAGTTTGGTGCTTGGACACAGGGGAATTTCATTTATGCATGTTAATGCCCCACCAGCATCCCTGTGTCCACCGGACGAAGCGGTGGCTCCACAATGACATGGTCCTCGGTTCGAGGAGGCATTGAAACTGTCTTAGTGCAGGGTGTGGCAGTAAGCAGTCGTGGTGGAGCACAATGGCCCGCAACACTGCTACGGCCCACAGCGCCAGCGTTTTGAAACATTTTACTCTTCTCGAATGTAGGTAAGTATTGGAGAGGCCCCGGATTAGTTTCAACGTTTCTTTTAAACTCATATAATTTAAAAGAACAAACTGTTTGAGGATGACAGAAATGCGCACGTGCAGTTCAACTCGACCGCTGTACGAGGCGTTGGGCGGAGGCTCGTAGCAAGAAATTTATTTTTACAACTGAATTTATATTTCTAGATGCAGACGCGCCAGCGATGCAAAGCCATGAACACTTACCAAGGCAACGTGGAGACTGTGTAATAGCAAGGCCGTGTTGACATAGAGGATGTCAGCAGACACAAGATGTGAGCGTCGTATCATTACAACAAATCTCGCAGCTCTCTGCTCGAGCGTGTTTGCATCAGCCTCATATTTACGATAACTGTTAAAGTCCGGTTCTAATAATATACAGCACTACGCTCCACCTAAAAAAATTACTTGTTCGCGAGGGTAAAAGGTGCTATTGGAAACAGAGATTTATAGCTTACACTCAGGCGTCTGGAACGTGTGGGTTTCGGATAATCAGGTGACGTAGTGCACGGGGAAAAAACACCTTTAACGCTGCGGCAAGGTTCATCAACTGAATAGATTTCCAGTGGCGGGTCCAAGTTAAACAAGAGACAAGACAAGACATACAAGACGTTTCGGGAGGTGGAGACATTCCCGTCTTCCGATGTTTAGTCATCACATTGATGGCAGTGGTCGAGACCGAACACAGAACCCTTTGAATACCAATCTGTACGAGAGCCGCTAATGCAGAGGTCCTGGAGCTTTGCGATAAAACGTCTTCTCGCGCTATTATTCTCTGATAGCCTCGGAGGTGAACGAGAAGCTGGGCTTGGTTCTTCTTGCGACGACTGAACCAAACAGATGGTAACCCGGCCGGGATTCGAACGAGTGCCTAGAGATTGTTACCGCTGCGCCAACCTAACTGAAGCTGACGTTTGTGCCGCCAGGTGGCACCAGCAACGAGTGCTCAAGGCAGGATTGAAACAAGCGAACACCAGCACGCGCCATGCGCCGCATAACAGAAAACACTAACTACGAAATAGCATAGGATAATGACACGTGGGTGAGGCCACGAGGGCGTGACTGGAAACCGGCGGTTTTCAGCAGCATCGTAAACAAGGCGACTCGTTTTAATGAAGCAACTTCGCGTTTCCTTGAATTCTCAGACATTTTCGTGACAGGTGCAGGAAGGAGTAGATATTCGCCCTGAAACATGAAGTTCGCTGGACCACGCGCACCAAAATTCTACGTAACCACGGCAACCAGAGTTGGTTTTCTGCTTCTGAACTCGGCATCGCTTTGTGCCTAGCGCAGAGGGGCTCCCTGCCACTTTGCAGCTCGTCTGCCGCTCTGATTAAGGGTTAAATTTCCGTTTGATCGAACAGGTGTGGCTCTGCGCAGTTCATTGCCCACAGAAGACACGAGGTCGGGCGACAGATGGAAGCAGCGTCACGACAAGTGAGCGCCTTCGTTATAAAGTATCGATACTCGTTATCGAAACCAGACAAACGGAAGGCAGCCGCGACTCATCTCGGTCCAGGGGAGCGATCTCCCGAACGTGGTAATTATTCTTCGGGTTCTCTTTGCTGAGCGACTACCAGCTTCTGAATCAGGACCCCGCTCCACTACAGCAGGCCAGAGGGCGTCGCCTGGGTCCTGCCAGCTGAGTCCAGTCCTTGTTCCTTCCGCTTTTACCCTGCAATTTCCACATGGATCTCTTGGTCCCGGACTTTTCGATGACAATTTTGTACGCATTTCTTAGTAGTATTTTGTTTTTACTTAAAAATGACGTCGACAGCTACAATTTTACAGCGTCAAATAATAGGATGAATAGTCATGAATTGGAAAGGATGTGAAAGGAAGCGGCGTCTGCAGTGTCTGACGAAAACCACGAAAACAGGCCAGAATAATGCTGAAAGTGATTTGTAGCCGGGACTTCCCCCCATTCGTGCTACAAGTCCTGTCTAGGGGATCGTAATTCATTTAATCGTCCTAGTAGTAACTGGTTCGCGGCAAACATAATGCAGCTGTAGTTGAGATCAGACCGCCGAGAATCGAACCCTAGTGACGTACGTTCCCACTGGCCCTCAGCCACGCATCTGAGCCACAAATGTTCACACAGAATGAACAAACGAAGCGTGAACAGCGTTCAGAATGAAGTGAGGTGTCGGTCAGATGCAGCCTGCAGGAGAATGAACACATCGCCTCGTAAATAGACCGAGACAGAAGACGACGACACGCAGGCTTTAAAAACGCAAGTGACTCAGAGTCGCATCCATTATCGAGTCTGCGAACGCAGGTGGATATTACTCTGCACTCAAGTCTGAGTGTTAGGGCGACGTAAACCTGTCACGCTATTCAAGTACGCAAACAGGGAGGGACAGGCACCACGCCCCAAACAATTGTGTGTTTATGTCGGCCGTTTCATTGCCCTCGCTTTGGTGGCAGGGCGCAGCCACCGCCCGATCACCTGCGTTTCGTTGGAAAGAGGACTGAAAAATCAAGCGACGTTTCTCGTCTCATGCAACGGGGACAGTCCGCTGTCCTTGACGGCGGGCTCCCGGCGCTGCGACTGTACGAAGCCCTAGGTACGAGGAGGAAGTGGCCATCTGGCCCGATCGAATGCAGATAAGAAATATTTTGCTCGCCACTTGAACTGGCGGAGTTATTGCGTCCAACAAGATCTGAAGATGACCACGAATGGCGAGTGGAAAGGCGTGAGTGAACAAGTCTGCAACGTCACTGCTCTGTACAGTTACTGATACCCACAAGTGCACTTGAACCGACCCAGAACAATTCCTCCGCTTAGGGGTGTCTTTCCTTCAGGTTTACTGACAACGTGCTGCATGCCCCGCCTGTCCCATCCTGCTTGACTGATCACAGGCCTGCAAATTCCATCATCCCTCATGACCCTGAACTAGACACCTTCAATCTGAATTCTTCCACCAGGGCGAGGGACCAGGTTTCACACCCATACAATACAACGGGTTCAGCGGCGTACGAGTGGGGCGGGGTAGAGGCCCCGCCCAGACCCGCCGCTGCTCTGGCGTCGACACGACCTCGCCCCGCAACTCGACGGCACTTGCGAGCCGACACAGCTGAAGTGGCAGGTTTTATGGGCAGAGCTGTACTCTGTGTGGAGAGGCAGGCAGGTCTTCTGCAATTAGACGTGTTTGTACACAAACGGGAAATATTTACTTAAACATTTGCACTTGGCATTCCTTTAAAAGGAATCCCGGATCCGTGTCCCGAGCTCAGGAGCCCCGTCTGACGGCGAACACACACGCACGTTTAACGCCACTTCGCGTAACTGCCCGTTTTCAGGTCAGATGACCTCTTGAATATATTCTTCAATAGTCCGTCCAGAAAGTCGTAATGAAGATGGCATCTTCTTCTGGGATGTTGCGCCGCGTAGCTTGGTAGAAGTTTATCGACGTTTCAGAGATACTTGCCGCCTGTATCATCGCCCCAACGACATCCCAGAAGACAATCATTCATCTTCCCTTCCATCCGGCTGACATGCACGTCACAGCCAACTTTCAGTTCAGTAAATAAAGCCCGCAAATCCAAACTGAAAGAGCGCTGTGCCCCCATCCGCGAGCGCAGAAAACATTTCGGTATATTCTGACGTGTTTACAGTTCAGATAACTTCTAATTAATAAGGGCCTGATATGTTTAAAACAACAAAATACGGAAACTGAAAACGACTCTGTCTACATCCTCAGGTTGCAAGGTCAACCACTGTTAAGACGCGCCTCGCACGGACCCCGCCCGACATCAGGACTCCACACTCCGCTCCGCCCTTCCTCGGCACTTTAAAGCTGATTTGTACGCAATTCCAACTACAAAGAGGAACGCTTTCAAATAATCGTAGTTGAGACGAGAACCAGGCACAGCCCACACGACAGGGATGCTGAGAAGACGCTTTCTAGCAGGTGTCTTTAAGATTTACGGCGCTGAATGCAGCGACGTGACGCACAAAAGGTCTGCAAGAACCAGCATCATCAGAGTCGGAAGACGTAGGATGCACCAGACACTTCCTTGTTCTCAGGCAAGGCAGATCCTGCTTTTGGGGCCAAGTTTGATCAACATTCGACGTTCTGGGTTCTCTCTCTTCCCGACAGAACATCAACTGTTTCCAAATGTACCAAATGAACGGAGGAAGCCATACTTGATAAAATATTAGAATTGCATGGGCAATCTACCAAGTGAGCATACTGACCCGAGGTTAAGCAAACAGCTGAAACTTGTCTGCGTTCTCCGGTACATATTTGCACTCACGCTAGCGAGGGATTTGGAAGGAGAAGGTCGGTACTGCGGCACCGTCTGATATTGTCACGTGACCGCAAAGGCGCGTTCCTTGTGATGACCGATTCCAGGACAGGACAAAACAGCGAACAGGTACGTCAGACGGTCAGAGGCCACATAACTCATCATCAAGGGCACGTAACCTCATTTACCAGAGGCGAAGTGTTGCCAGGAGCGTGACAGAGCCAAGTAAACTCGGTTCAGTAACGCGAAAATAGTAAGACGAGGCGGTAAAGGAAGAACAGCGAACGTTTCCAACGCCCGTTCTTGCGCGGCTTCGAACTACAGACCACAACTACAATCCCAGCCGTCTGGATTCTCCAATGACTTGAAAAGAACAGAGCCATTTCCTAGAACGCAGGACCTCCTGATCAGTGCAGACATCCTACCGGCAGGAGAGCTCACAAACCGGTCGGTCGGTCGACCAGAAAAACAGCGCCCTACATTCTTTCAAGAAGTGCAGCCAATCAGCGGGACCCTCTGTACAGACGCCAGGACATGAGGGCCCACTCTAGCGGCTCAACACCCCGACAGCTGAAGTACTTCGTGCCTACTGGACGACGAATGGAGTGGCAATTGTCATTTCTGGCAACGAACGTGC